AAATACGTGATCAACTAGTGAAGGATGCGCTTTTCAGTTGTGTTAGGCGGAAAAAGTGAAAAAGAACGTATTGCTGTTGCAATCACGAATGAACTATGACCAAGGGTCGATGTTTTCAGGAGATTATTTTAGTGTGGCATCATAGTGTGGTAGCATATTAGAGCACCTTCAGTCAAGATTCGAGTTGAACAAAAATGAATGCACTTCACTCTTCATTTTGCAAAATTTTCATTTAATTTTTATGTTAGCAAATATGAAGGTGATTTGTTAGGCTAATAAGAACAGTTTTAGAACTTCATCACAACAGTTTGAACTCATATCTTTTCTCTGTTTTTGTTTGTTTTCGGTGGTTGTAACCTTCTATGCTATTTGTGCAGTGACTACAGTCTTTTTGTTCCGACCATTGAGAATGAGGAGAAACTTTGTATACAAGTGTGTGTTTTTTTCCAAGCAAAAATAGATACCACAAATAATCATCGGATTGGGTCGGGTGATATACTAATTAAGGCCCTTTCGGCCGTGATTGGAAGGACATTAAAAATTCATAATATCAAGTGTCGAAAAAACTTGATTTTTCTAAATGGAGAACTTGATTTAAATCTTCCTTTAATACTTTCTTGGCCATAAACTTCTAAAACAAATATTTTTGTCCGTTCTTCGTTTTTTGAAGCAAACTGTTCTCTATCGTGACTAATTGGCTATTTTCCTAAGCGTTTGCGTAGTTCTTCCATCACACCATAGACACTTTTTTGTAGTGTTCTATGAAAACGCGCAGCAGCCAGCTGTCCTTGTCTGAATTTATGGAAATTGAAAAAACTTAATTTTTGGCAAAACCTCCTATTTAGAGCAACTGAGTAAAACAGAATTTGAAAAAATCAACCTGTAATACGAAACATTTTCTAGCTCAAACTAAATTACATCTTACAATTTTCACGGCTGCAAACACAATTGAAACAGACAGTTAGAAAAAGTCAAAGAAAACAAGTAAACAGAGAAAAACACTGACTCGTTTTGAAATCCTCAGCTTTTGATTTTCAAAGAAAAAATAGGTGCCCTTACAGCTTTTTGAAATTTTGGAACAATTTATGGTTGACACCACTTTGATTACATTATCCCAATTGAAAAAAAAATCAAATCAGTGAACAAATAGCTGTTCCATAGTGGAGTTTGTTTTCTCTTGAACAAAGGAAAGGAACTAAACTTACGAAAACATAAGTCAAACAGCAAAAATATATTTGAGACTGAACGATTGTATATTTTTTCTTGAAAAAATCATCACAACATATAAAAAAAGTCTGACCTGATTAAGAGCCCGGCTTCATTCGATCTTTATATTTACTTCATATACAATCAAAATTGAGTTGACGCTTATATCGCATGCTATTTGAAACCAAATTTAAAAATTACACCACGTAGAAACTCACATAAATGTGCGGCTTTGGACGAACAGATATTAAAACTCAAGCACCCGCTTTAGCAGAAAAATAGATCGCCCTTTAAAAACAAGCTTGCCAATTCCATGATTTCATCAGATAACTGGAAAAGTATAATTGGACAACACAGGTAGCAAATTGATATCGAAGTCTTAGGGACATGGGGAAACTGAAAACATAGGGCACAGACAGTTGGAAAAGAGCCAATGAACCCAATTTGAGAAAACTGAATTAATAGGTAAAACTTGAAACAATTCCACATTTGAAGCTAAAAATCGATCTATTTTTTCGGGACTTTTACACTTTTGCAGTTCGATAGAGGACATGAAAAGAAATCAATAAGCAAACCGCGAAAAAGTACACCTGCCTGAACAAATTTTAAGACTATTCCTGAAACAAAAAATCAACCCAAACTATATAAGAGTCTAAACTACGTTGATAGACTCTTAAAACAATGAAAACGGATTTTTTTTTTCACTTTATTTGGAAAACTTTCATCAACCTAAGCTCTTCAAACATTGGTTTTTACAAGAAGTAGGGCAAAATATATTTGGGGTCTTAGAAACCTTTGATGAATTTTTGCTCTACTTGTAAAAACTCTTACATTTTACCGTTTGACTCGAAACATTTCATACACAGAGGCAAAGCTTCGCTTCGCACACACTAGCAAGAAAACGACATAAAACAGCTCAACAATAAGCAATAAAAAAGGTGAAATAAGCTTCTATTTAGTAAGATTTGGGCTACGTCTCGGATTTGATTTGCAACCTACAGATTACGAGTCTCACGCACTACCCACTCAGCCAAGGACGCTTAATCAATAACAAACACTAGCCACAAATAAAATGGAGAGTAGATGCTATGAAATTTCCAAGGCTACAGATCGTGATTATAGCAAAAGTGTCACAAAATAAGTGAACACTTTTAAGGAACACTTCTATTTACGAGTTAGGTTAGAAAAAAGGTTTGTACTAATACACTACGCTTCGCAAGCTCGCTGTGCTGTGTTAACAGTTATATTTGAGAGCACACTGGTGTTAAAACAAAGTTCCCTCCATTATTGCAAAAAAGAAAAAAAAACTTCGTATACGATGTCTTTTATTTGTATCAGAATAAACTGGGATATGCTCAGTATTTTTTTCAAAAAACAAAAATTTGCTATAAAATTAATGGTTTCGCATATGCGTTATAAAACAGAAGTAATGACATGGTTCAAAATTTGGCTGAAAGCTTTTCCTGAAAAATATAGCATTGAACAGGGGCCAATCGTTTGCAATTTAAGTCAATATAACAAATAATTATGACACAGAACGGCAGTTTACAATAAACAGACTTATTAAAATTACCAATCACAGCGCTTTCAGCAGTTTGAAAGTGATTCATTTGATTGATTTGGTGATTTCAGCGAAGACTATTTGTACTTTTAGAGCATAAAAGAAAAAAAAAGCTAGAAAATTTCACAACAACTTGAGAAAAGACCTACATTGTCATGCATGAAAACAAGATTTTTCATTACTTTCCCTAAATGCAAAGATAACCCCCTAATGACACCCCGTAATGAAAAAATAAACGAGCGCGACAAATTCTTGTGTAAAAATTTTTGTTAGTGTACTCTAATGCAGAGGAGCTTCCCACTACCTGTTATCTCATTGAACTCTCAACATCGGATTTGAGAGGTTTGTTTTTGAGAAAAGTCGGAAAGATCTACAAAACGGGCCATAACTTTTTGTGCAAAAAAAATTGGTCGTAGCCACTTTTGCAATTGAAAGCAAAAACTCATATTTGAGAGAGGTAGTTTTCGATAAGAACGAAAAAATCAAAAATATGGGTCAAATCTTAACCCACACTTTTTCGAAGGCTGTGGACAGAGGGGTCAAGTAAAAAAGTCTCTAGGGGAGTATGCATGCACACAGATGAATAAGCGCGGCCTTTCAATTGATACTCCCTTTTGAAAATCAGAAGTTTGCGAAAAACTTAAATTTTTGCTATTGAAAAAATTTTCCCAATCAAAAAAATAATAAATTTCAACAAACAGATTGGTACACATGCAACCAACTTGAAAATTGCGGAGGAGAGTGCTAAAATTGTGTTAATCTTGAAACGTCCTGAGCCTAGTCCTTCCTTAAGCCGATGAAAAAATAGGCCGAAAATTTTGACCTTAAGTGAAATTGTTTTAAGTGAAAGCACATTTAATACAACATTAAAACCTGTGCGTAAAAAAAAACACAATTCCAAGATGTGACAACTGAGCCGACAACAGATAATCAGACCATTAATTGGCCGACAGATAAGCAGATAAAAATTGGCCGACAAATAATTGGCCAACTGAATATTTCACGTTTAAAAAAAAGAGGTCCTGGTCAGACTCGAACTCAGGATCTTTGCCGTCCCAGGCATATTCGTTAACTCCACGCTAAGTTGGCCAGGAACCCAACGAATTCGGTAAGAGCCTAAAATGGTCAGGAAAAAAAACTAGTACCCGGTTGCAATACCCTTGCTTATCGCAAGGGTAATTAAACACTAAAAATAACGTTATAGAAAAATGCGCTATAGAAAAAAAAAAACAATTTCAACTAAGATGTGACAACTACGTCGACGACAGATACGCAGACAAATAATCCAAAAATCGTAGCTGATATCTTTATTGAAATTTTTGAAATAATCTTTTTAACTTATTCAGTTAGACAAAATGCCAATTCCTCAAAAGTATAGCATTCTCAGTTCAAATCTCGACTTATAAGGCTTGAAAGGACAAAATCAATTTGAGTTTTAATTTTTATCCGTACGTGTTTCAGTACGTTCAACCTTGCTATTTAAAAACTGACTTCGACTTTTTTTACTAGCACAAGTACAAAGATTTTTCAGATCAAAACTATCCACTCCCCTCGTTGAACTGAATGGCCTCGTACATACTCAAGCTCAATAAAAGCAGTAACTTGACTCGAAGACAAGGTACTTTTTTCGGGGTGAAAAGGGATCTGAGCAATGTTGTCCACAACAAAGCAAGGTCAATTTCTTACAAATTTGTCCATGCTGCTTACGAGAAAAAAACCTAGTTCTTACGTACAAGTAAAACAGCCGTCGCTAGTGAAACAAGTAAAAATACTTACCAGAAGCAACAAACAGTTGGAAATGTGTCAATAAATTCAAGTAAAAAAGAAACTTTCGAACTTTGAAGAAAAACTGACGTTGAACCTTTCTAAATTTCATAACTATTTCATGATCAACACTTTGTTGATACAAATAGACCAGTTGATGAAAAATTGGATCAAATTTATTCTTGGAACCTGTATTCATTCTCGTATTTTTCGCGCCATTTCCGCTTTCTCAATTTGAGAGCGTTATTCACCTTCTTTGAATTAAATACGGATCAACTGAATTAACTTATTAGAGGCACATGCTATTAAATTGCCAGTGCATAATCGCCACCAAAACATCAAACATTTGGGGCATGGATTTGAAAAAGATGCTTCGCAGTATAACATTGCGCTTCGCTTGCGTAAACACTGCTCCACGCTCTTGTTTTAACACTGCTCCACACTATTAATTAATACTAGTTTTTCAAAACGAAATCGAAATTATTTAATTCTTTATAGTAAAATATAACTAATATTCCAATCACTGTTTTCAACTTTAAGTTTATCATCTGTTCAACAAAACTTAGAAACCCCAATTACAATATCAAAAATAAATTTTATCTACAGGAGAAATTCCGGAAATCCTATGGAAAGATTACATAATATAAGTCTCTTCAATTGATATTTAGTCATGTTGTACTGAACTTGTATAGAAATTTTTGTTAACATGTAACAATACATGAGCCTCTTTTCCAATTAAAAAAAACGACAGTTTCCCTGACCATTTTGAAAGTTGGATCAAGTTGCAATCAAAACAATCATCGCTGTCGCCTGTTAGAATTATGATAGCGTTTTTTACACATAGCGTTTACGAACTTCAGTCTAAGGAACTGGAAAAGAGTTCATCTTGCAATTTTAAAGGTATCAAAATAGTTCTCAAGGGGGTCATTTCTGTTACGAGAAACAAAATAATCAAAACATTAAATGAGCTAATATCTTTGCAATTAACTTCAGAATTCCTTTTGTTTTAATATTCTATTTCAGTCAATTAGATTCAAACATGATCCAATTTTCATAACATCATTAATACAAATTTTGGGCCTTGTAACAGAAAAGACCTATTTTCGATCACCAGGAAAGTCCTCGATTAACATAGAAAAGATAGAGAAAGATATGATGGCTCTAGCAGGAGGAAGACATCGCAAGCAACAGCACCAGTGTTCTGGAAGGACGAATTTCAGATATCTTCAAAAATAACAGAAAAATAAAATGCTCAAAAGATTACCAAAATTTCTAGAATTTTATAAATTTCACAGCTCCAGTCAATCTCAACATTTAGACAACCGAAAAAAAAATGCGATTGAAAGTTGTACGGTGAAAGTGTTGTGCGTCAATAAACAGTACCCAACATCAACTTAGAATGAAACAGAATAAGCATTCAGTAATCTTCAAGTTCGATAATGGATGTGTGAGTAAATTTGGATCTATTAAACATTTAACCTATCGCAAAAAAAATCAAAACTGTGTACGCTTAACTATTGTATATAGATCTAACTCAAGATTGAGAGATAAAAACTAAAACGATAACACTACCAACTCTACACCGTACGAAAATATGGAGCTAGATTGTTGGATTCATAATTTGAAAGCATTTCAATAGACAACAGTAAGCAGTAAGACCTCAAACTGGTGGCGGTTAATCAGTTCAGATAGCAGGATATCATCAAGTTAAAATGTCCGAAATGCATTAGATGAATTTGATGACACTACTCTGGTCAAATATTAAGGCGATTATAAAGCACACAAACACATTTAATGATTTCAAATGGATAGAAGATCCATGGATAGATTGGTTCAAAATCTAGAATATTTTCACTTTTCAAGTTATTCTCTTTTGAAATTGAGTTACAGCTGCAGGGTTAACTTTTATGTTCATAATTTTTGGTTATTCTCGTTCACATTAAAGGATAGCTTTTTCAGCCAAGGGACATGATTTTCAGGTTCTCCATTAATTCACAATTACTTCAAGTTCGTTCACAATATTTACATTTCTGTTTCCTGTCCAGTCCAGTTTGCTTGACTTGACTTGCATTCCTTTTATGGCAGTTCGACCATGTGGGAGAGCTGGTGTTGCATTTGGCACTGTGCACAGGGGTAACAGAATGTGGCGACGCAACAGTCGTCACAGAGACTTCCGTGGATGCCATACATCATTCTGGTCTTAGTCCTCATGGCCGACAGCGGGTGTGGAGTGAAGCACACTATACACATGCTCTCTCCCATCCGACTCGCCGCCTGCAAAATCAAAGAGAAAAGATAGCCGGTTGCCGTGAAAGTAGCACCGAATTTCCGATCATAATATATTTTACATGGTCGGAACTTTCGATGGTCGGAGCTTTGTATCACTTGCGCTACAACACAAACAAAAACATGCCGAGAAAACCATGAAAAATGTTGGAAGAAATAGGTAGTTGAGTGTCAAAGCGATGGGTCTGATCTAGACAGTGATAACTTAATAAAGCTAAACAACCAAATTGAAGGCAATTTGTCGAAAAACGATTAATTGTTTCATAACGTGCCTGCCCTTAAATCCAACGAAAATAAGTTTAACTGCTGTAACAAACTGAAATTGAGTATTCAGCTAATAATTTTCTTTTTATTGGGTGCCTTGAACTTTCTCTGTGTGCTGTACTGCCTCTCATAATTCTATGAAGCTCATTGTCTGGATCAGACCCGTCTCCTTGTCATGAATCAAATAGCAACTGAACCGCCCAAACCTGGGTAAATTCCCGAAGAACCGAAAACAACATTGTTGCCATGAAAAATTTAAGAACTTCTATTTCTTTTCTAAGATTGTTAGCATTTGTCCGATCCAAGTAAGAGCAGAAATACATGCTTCCGTTGACAAGACCCAACTTAGGTCTATAAGCCGATGAAATTTGAACCAAAATTTACCTTTTATAATTTTGACTATTGTAAACAAAGTTATTTACGGTAAAAGTCTAGTACCCGATTGCACTACCCTTGGTGATTGCAAGGATAACACAGAGGTGAAGCTGAGCTTCGCGTCACTTGCGATACAAAATAAGAAAGCCGCAAAGTCAGAAATAAATCGAAAATGACGAAAAAACTAGATCTATCAAAATGAACTAGGGTGAAATTAAATCTGCATCCTTTGAGTGCACGCTGACAGCAGCCAAACACATGTTACATTCAAATTTTTTAGTTTTTTATTCAACTTTTTAAAATCCAACTTCAAAAAACCAGAAAATTTTGTTTTTTATATCTAACTTCATTGAAAAATTTTAAAATGACATAAAAAAAGTTATCTAGAAAACTTTTTTAAAATAAGCAGTCGCATGTGGACGCAAGATTTGCAACTCCTGATAGTACTTTGGCAGTACTGAACTACAGGGTTGGGAATTTCAAAATGAGACACTTTTCAAATTTAGGTTTTCTAAAAAATAAGTGAAAAAATCATAAAAAACGTCTCATCTCAAAAACTACGAAGATTTGAGCAGTCATATTTGCAGGCAAGATTCGCATCTCCTGAGAGTACTATAATAACCCAAAACGAGAGGGTTAGCAATTTCAGATAATAATAAAAATTAAATTTCAGTTTTCTGAAAATTTTTTGAAAAAACTGCCAAAAACGTCATATCTCGAAAACTACAGCGGTTCGAGCAGCTTTTTTGGAGGCAAGATTTGCAAGAGTACTCTGACATTTGAAAAAAAAATAAACTTAAGTTTTCTGAAACAATGAAAGACATCATAAAACACTTCATATCTCGAAAACTACAAGGATTTGAGCAGTCATATTTGCAGGCAAGATTCGCAATCCTTGAGAAAATCCTAAATAAACCCAACTACAGGGTTGTGCAATTTTTTTAAAAACTGAATGATTTTTTTTGAATCATTTTTCAATTTTAAGTTTTCAGAAAAATTTTGAAAAACCTGTTAGAAACCCCTGACAGCATCCCACTATTGGGTTGCTGATTTTACACTCGGTAAATTAAGCACTGAATTCAAACGGGAAAATCAAAAAAAAAATGTGTTACCCATTGCAATACACGATTTGGCTTGAACGTGATAAAATTCTTCCGTTAAGCATGCAAAAATTATTCGTTGAAAAAACTTATAGGAGGCGAGATAATGAAACCAGCATTTAAATATATAATAGATAAGGCTAGATTATAAACAAAAATATGCCAAGGCAAAGGAATGTGAGACTAGCATCGGAAACTTTACCAAGCGGCAACAAAGCCGCAAATACCCTAGCAGAAACCTTTTTATGCAAAAAAAACCAACAAGACTTAAGACTTATAAAAGTTATTGGGTCCCCACTCCCCCTCAAAACACACACATACGAAAATTTTTCGCACGTCTAAAGACGCAATATGAGGCCATTAAGCCGATATAGTTTGGGATGAAAACCTATCAAGCCGATAGAAAAAAAAACAAACAGAGCCGAGAAAAAAGCTACCATGAATAACTTGAGCTAACATTTCTATAAACTTTTCAGCAATTTGTGCGATCCAGTGGCCATAAAAGTTATGTTTACCTTGAAACGACTCAAAATTAGGTCATTAAACCGACAATTTTTTTACAACGAAATATTTCCCGTTTTTTAAAAAAACAAATCTGTCAGATTCAAACCAAGACCTTTGTGGTCCCGGGCATATTCGTTACCTCCATACAAACGTGCCGGAGACGCAAAAAAATTGAAATTATTATATCTGAAATTAAACTTACCATTCTAATTTTGACCGTTGTGAAAAACATTTACCGGAAAAAACTAGTCCCCGTTTGCAATACCCTTGCTTAATAGCAACGAAAAGAAACATACGAAGCAGAAGCAAAGAACATCTTTGATTCGACAAAAAAAAAAGATTTTTCGAAAAAGCTTTAGGTCCACTCTAAATTAGAGGTTAGCCAAAATTAAGATTTTTCAATTATCAATAACTTCAGACAAGCATAGCCGTTTTTTGTCCATGGTGTGATGGGGAACTGAACAAATGCGTATAAATTTATCCAATTAGGCATATCCGTGAAGAGTTGGCTTCAAAAAATGAATGTGGTCAAGAAAGGGCTGGTGAAAGTTTTAAATGAAGCCGAAATGAACCAAGGTTTCTGAGCCGAAATGTCTTATTTTCATTTAACAAACGTTATTCCGATAATTTGGAAGAAAAAAAACGAAAATAAATCTTCCCCCCTAAGGTACCTAGTAACGAGTTGTCACCCTTAGAATGAAATAATTCAAAGGTTAAGCATATGCGAATTTTGTACTTTGTAACGAGTCTCCCCTGATTTTATAATGGACTTAATAAAAAATAAATACGTTGCTCAAATATAGTTCGACAGTACGATCAATGGTAAATAACACATATTTACAATTTTTAGGCAGAGTACATAAAAGTCCCCAAAGTTTCTCCCTAATTTGAGTGTAATCTGAAGAAAAGGCTCACATTCTGAGAACTGAAGATATCAATTAAATGGGATATCTTCAGCTATCCCCCCTAAGGTACCTAGTAACGAGTTGTCGCCCTTACAATGCAATAATTCAACGGTTAGGCATATGTAAATTTTCTACCTAGTAACAAATCTCCCTCATTTTTTGCAAAAGGGGGAAAATTGTAGTAAAATTGATCCCTTAAATGTTCTCTTAAAGCCTAAACTTTTTACTAAAATGGTATCATCAACAATAGATAAATAATCCATCGAGGACTATGAAATTACTAAAGTAACCAGTTCACAATCACCTGAACGAATGAGTCTTCGTCTTCACAAGAGTGTAGGTGGTCAAAAAGATGCAAATTGGTAGTAACTTGAAAGTTTCATGAACGCGGTTGCTGAATATATTGCAATTGCAAAATAGTTTACCTATTTGGGCCCATAAGATAAGAACAATCTCTACCCCACCCCCCACCCAAAAAAAACTACATTGCAAATTCAAGCAGTACTATTCACAAAACTAATTGTGGAAAAAGAATGCTTTAAAAC